CCCCCCTGCCACCAAGCCCCTCGCTGATTGGCTGCAGGGCAGGCTGGCGCCTACCAACTCCGGGAGGGAAGGGAGGAAGGAAAGAGGCGCCGCGGAGGCAAGGGGAGCTCTAGGGCGCCTCGGCTCGCGGGAATAGCGCATCCCCGGTGTCACCGCCCTGCCACAGTCCGGCGACTAGAGCCAGCGGCCCGTTTCTGGCACGTACACACTCCTCCCTCTCACGAATGGGACCGTCCCAGACTGTACCAAGCCCCAGGCAGGGGAGATACGTCCTGGGCGCTCAACGCCGCCTGCCCAGGACTCAAGCGGGTGTTGGACGCGTCCTCCCGGGTAGCGGGCGGGCCCACGACTTCCTTCACCAAAGGGACGTGCCGGAAGAAGCTCTTCCTCTAGGGCTCCAGTTGGTTCCGTCCTCGGCGTCTGGTTGCCAGGCAACGCGGTGGGGCGCGCCCATTCCGGCGGAGGGGGGTGCCCCTCCGGGTGGTGCTGCCCGCTCGCGCGGGGACAGCGGGGCGTCGTGGCACAGGTGAGGCCTCGCCGGCCTCTCGGGGGCGCCGCCGGCTGCCTCCACGCCCTGAGGGCCCGGCCGCCTTGGGGAAACCGGAGAGAAACCAGCGCCGTGCACGTACAGTGCAGCCCCGCGCGTCATGAATGTAACGTGTGCCGGGGGTTAAACGGGCCTAGCTAGGTAACCCCCGGGAGCTCGACCCAGCATCCCCCCTCGGTCCTGCTTTATACCCCTTCCCCGGTTTTAAACCCTTCGTGTGTCCCCTGCTTTCTGAATGAGGACCGGACTGCAAGAAGTCCTGTTTTTCAGTTCATTGGTGGAAATGCACGTCAATCATTTGTCCTCGCGACTCTATTGGCTGTGCGTAGAGGTAGGGCGGTGCGCAGCCGGGAGGAGCAGCATTGGGAGCCAGGTTGCCAGGTCTTAAATATGAAATGATAAAATTGGAAGTTCACAACGATCATATTTGCTGAAAAACTATCATACGCTGAAAAAATATGCAAACAAGTATGCAAGTAAATCTTATTTCCTTTCTGTTGCTCATTGTATGTCGCCAGTAAGAACTGGGTCATCAAAGTTGAAGCATGGCTTTATTTGGAGGTAAGCTGTCATAACAAAGTACTGATAGCAAACCCAACATCAGGTTAAGGCTCTCTGAGAACCACTTGGGTTTTGCATATGCTGCACCACTGAGCTGCCTAAAAAAGTATGGTACATTTTGAGCATTTTCACTGATACTGATCGTATGTCATATAAGAGTTGAAATTATCTTACAAATACATCTCATATTATTATACACCTGGCAACACTGGAGGCGGCCTTGTTGTGGTGGCCCCACCCCTTGCTGCTGACTGGCCAAGGTCGGTAGTGGCCCCACCCCTCCCCACTGGTTGACTGTGGGGGCCTATGGTCATTTCCTCCCCCATGCCCAAAGGGATGTCTTGTATTCTGGGGATGTCTCAGAGGCCACCCTAGGTCTGGTGCAGTTCTTTGCTGTGGAAAAATGTGTCTGTTGTATTTTTCTGCAGGCCAAAAAAAAAGAGGAGGGAATGCTGAGAGCTGGCATTTTCCAACGGTGCCTCAAGTCTGTCCGGGGTGCTCCCCATTCTAGAAAGGTTGAGAACCACTGGGTTAAGCCATGCCAGCCCTTCAGCGTGCCAACTGCCCTGCATCGCCCATGTTTGGTCATCTCCATGATGGAAATATTACATTTGTCATTGGTGTGTCAAACACCACATCTTCCAAGCTGTGTTTCCTGAAGGAGCAGCTCATAAAGGCTCTCTTCTCAATGTCCAGCAGCCCAGCTGAATCCAAGTTCAACATCATAAGCTTTGCTGGCAAGGTAAAGCTAATGCAGTTGTGACTGAGTGCAGGATTACACTGTTAGAAGCAGGGCCAGTGAGAAGGCATAAATGGAAACAATGCTGATCTCTGTTACTGTGTTTAAGTCTTAGCATTTTGTTAGACCAGGTGATTCGCAGCCAGGGTGCCATGGCACCCTGGGGTGTCTTGAGATCCTTTCAAGAGTGTCATTGGTTGTCATGCAGTGTTAGCATGGTGTGTAAGCATGATTCACAAACTAAAACTTGAGTTTCCACGTAGGAATGCACAGTGTTAAAAACACTGTGGTCTTTTGTGGTGTTTCTGAGTTCTTTGCAACAGACAAATCACTCTAGTATTTTTCTGCTGTCAAAAAAAAAGTCTCAAAACTAAGAGCTGGCATTTTCCAAGAGGTGCCTCAAGGCTGGGGAGGAGTGCCTCAAGTCCAAAAAGGCTGAGGATCACTAACCTCTGTCAGGTGAGGTGGCTGCAACATATCAATGGCCACTGATAGGGTGAAACAAGTGTAAGGTAAGAGTTACAAAATGCATATTACATTACCCACCCACTCTCCCTCCAGCTATGGGATTATCCCCTTGTATATTTTCTTGGGTGCCTGGTTGCATTGCTGGCCTGGATTAATCCCACTCGTGCTTAATTGCTGAGAGTAGTAGCAGTATATGGGATAGAGGCATTTTCAAATCCCGTGGAACCTCTTGTCTACTCTTTTGCATGGCAACACCCCCAAATCACTAACCTGGAAGAGTAATCACATGCAATAGCAACGTCAGCCTCTCAGCTCTAGGAACAAATCAAAGGGGCTGAGTTTTGCTGGAAGGTATATTGGTTTTTATTTTTTTGTTGTGCTGCTTGTCACTTGTTCAGTTCTCTGTGCCTTTCAAATACTGCTCAGTCTCTTCCTCATCTTCTGAACTAGTAAAAGCTGGCTTTCACCCTGCCTGAATTCCTTAAATTCCTTCTTTAAGTTCTGGGACCTGGAACCTCGTCCTCTGGCATCTCCTTTTAGATGGTTCACTGCCAGTTTAACATAGCAAAAACTGAACTCCTAACCCGTCTCCTGAACTCATTCTTCCTCCCATTTTCCGTCACCGTTATCAATTCTATAATTACATCCTCTTTTCACTCCAGCCCAGAACATTCTATTCTGTTTGAAACATCCCTCTCTGTACCTTGCATGTCCAGGAAAAATGCCAAACTTGCTGTTATCTCCCTAGTTCTGATATTTGGCCTTTTCTTTGTGTCCATGATTGAAATAACCCTAGAACAGAGGAGCTTGAAGTAATATTAATTTAAATAGTGACTAAGATCAGTGAACTTGCAGTTACCACACTGATTACAGAGACAGTACATAGGAAAATGTGCAGTGTTAATTTTAGCCTCATCACTGACATCATTATGGCCCTTGGTGTTAGAAAATACACAGCAATTCTCCTCAGACACCTCTGAAAGACCAGCATTGCATTTTCATTTCTATACTGAGAATTTTCTGGGTTTTTACAACATCCCCTGTTAAGCAGAAAGTGCCACGTTTTTTATCAGTTTTTCAAAAGTTTTGTTATAAAATATTTCCTTTTTGAATTGCTTTTTTTTTTAGTTGGGTTAAAATTTTGTCTTTTGTGCAGGTGGTAAAATGGTGCAGTAAGTTAGTCAAATGTTCTCTCAGTACCGTCACTGAAGCAGCAGCATGGATTAGAGCCCTGCAGTGCGGGGATGGTGCAGAAGTTGTGTGCGCCTTGGCTGCAGCATTTGAAGATCCCGGGTGTCAGGCAGTGTACCTGGTCACAGATGCTGTCCTTGAGAGCGCTTCAGAGGAAATCTGTCACTTTCTTATAGAGACTGGGGAGTCACGCCCTGTGCACATTGTATACCTGGTGGGAAATCCAGGTGATTTTGAAAGCCACACACAAAAAATAATGGAAAAAGTAGCCAGACAGTCTGGAGGATCCTTTCGGGTGATCAGCCTCCACACAGCTAGTGCTTCAGATGAGGTAAGTCAATAACAGCAGATTCAGGTGAAAAGGGTGAAACAGAGTGTGTTCAGAGAGACAACATTTCACAAAACTGAGCCAGTCAGAGACACATCTCTCCTGCATTCTGAAAAGTTTACTGCATATTCTATCTGGCTTCCTGCAAACAAAGCTTTCCATGAATAACACAAGGCAATAGATTCCGAAACTCTCTTACGGGTTTTCTTTGAAATCCCAAGGCTGTTCACATGCTGTTCTAATGAATACAAAGTATTCATCACTTAGTTTCATAACTGGGAGTGCAGCACTGGCAGCCCCTAGGTGGCAAGTGAACTTCTCATGTCGTTCTTGAACTATATCTAAGAACAGTTCTTGGGATAACATTCAATTGTAATAGGGTAAAACTCAGTTTACTCCACCAGATCTGAGATTAGCCTATAAAGCAGACTTTAGAAGGCTTCTGTTATTAGATTTTAGTATGAGGCAGGTGAGGACATTGTGATGTGGAAGGAGATCTTGCAGGAACTGTATGGAAAAAATGAATCCCATGGCCCCTGCCACTTGATTTTATGTTTACTTTGCTAGCTGGCCCTGAAGCAGTGATGGCTGAGATTCCTTCTGAGCTGTCCTGCTGCTATTTAGTCTACCATCAGGCAGGTCATGTTGAATATTGCCTTTTTAAATAAAAATAACAATAATATAAAACAGTTAACTTTTTAAACCGCTATGACTAATAACAGCAGCTGGTATATGATTTGCAATTTTTTTCATCATATTGCCCACTTGTTAGTAAAAGGATTATGTGGTACACTATTCTCCCTTCTTTTCACAATCATGTAATAGCTTTGTAGTAACTACACAACTGCTTATGTGGAATAGGAGGAAACTAATTAGGTATGTGTTTTATATGTGGTTCATGGAACACACATTTTGTCTTTTTTGGAGGAAAGTGGAGTATTCATTAATATGTCAATATTTTGGGGGGGGGGGTGATCTCTTCTTCCCTTCTGTTCTCCCTCTCTCTTCCTTTCTTTCCCTTCCTCCCCACCTTTTAACTTCCCTATTTATGGTCCTTTTCGTCCTTCTGATCCCTTTCCCATGTTACTTAGCCATCTGGCCCTATTCTCCATCCTACTGCCATGGACATTCCTCTCCCAGTGATGGTTTGGTCTTAGAAGGCTGCTTCTGGTTTTCTCAGTTGGTTCCACTAAGCTGACTTCTCACATCCAGTTTTTTTCACAAACTTCATGACTTTTGTTTGTATAGGAGATCTTGGAAACCTGTAAAAGAAGCTGGAAACTGGAAGAGGTGACACCATGGGTAGAAACATACACATCCCACCACAGCTGATCCACTTTATTGGGTGATGTGTTCCCCTTGCCTAGGGATTCCCTGTGTCCCTTGCTGCCTTGTTATCAAGACCCATGCCAGGTCCCTCACTGACCTGTGCTTCACACGGAGGCACAGGTCAGGATGGATCTTGGCATGGGACAGAGCAGTGGTGCAGTGCCTTGTAAAAGCCAGGGAATCCCTAACACCCCTGTGCCTCCACAATGGACTCCATGCCAGCCCATGCTTCACATAGAGGTATGGGTCAGCACAGGTCCTGTTGTGGAAACATGACACTGGGAATTTCCTGGCTCCAACGCCACCCCATGCCTCCTTGCCAGGACCCATGCTTTATGCGGAGGCACAGATCAGCACAGGGCAGTGCAGAGGTGTGGGGTGATGTGGGAAACAGGGAGTGCCTGGAGTCTCATGACTCCACTTGGGACCCACATAACCTGTGCTTCATGCAGAAGCACAAGTCAGCACGGGGCAGGGTGGAAGTGTGGGGTGGCACAAGAGCTGGGGAAGCCCTGGTGTCTGGTGCCTCTGCGCTGGGACCCAAGGTGACCCGTGCCTCCAAGTGAAACCCAACCTTTCCCCACTTACCCAGATCTCTGTTACCTCAAAGCTCCTGAGCACATATCTGGGTAAGCAGGGAGACCCTGACTGTTCCTGCTTAACCAGACTTGTCCCTAGAAATCCCCAGGGGCATGTCTGGGTAAGTAGGGAAACCCTGACTTTCCCTGCTTACTGAAGTGCGTCTTTGAAGATCCTGATGGTGCATCTCAGTAACCAAGGAAAGCTGGGCAGGTGCTCCAACAACTTGAGGGGCCCAGTTCTGCTCAGGAATTTCCAGGGTGGATACTGGGCCCCTCAAGCTCCCAGAGCAGGCAGCTGAGAATGCAGGTAGCTTTGGACTGTCTGTACTGTCCTGCCATAAGCAAATGGATGTCTGCCACAGCAAAGAGGCACAAATTATTACTACCTTTTGTAGCAGCCACAAATTTGGGCATTTTGGACATGGCAGGAAGTATGGACATCTGTTTGTTTTCACTTTGTGCTGCCATAAAAATGTTTATAATTTCATAGTTGGTAGGGTTAGAAGGGACCTGAGCAGATCATCAGGTCCGACCCCCTGCCATGGCAGGAAAGAATGTTGGGGTTAAATGACCCCGGCCAGGTGATTATCTAGCCTTCTTTTGAAGAACCCCAGGGTAGGAGCAAGCACCACTTCCCTTGGAAGTTGGTTCCAGATCCTAGCCGCCCTGACTGTGAAGTAGTGCTTCCTGATGTCCAGCCTGAACCTATTCTCAGTCAACTTGTGGCCGTTATTCCTAGTTACTCCTGGTAGTGTTCGGGGAACAGGGACTCTCCCATTCCCCACTGGTCCTCCCTGGTAAGTTTATAGATGGCCACCAGATCCCCTCTCAGCCTTGTGGAGGCTGAACAGGTTCAGGTCCCGTAGCCTCTCCTCATAGGGCCTGCCCTGCTGCCCCCTGACCATGTGAGTGACCCTCCTTTGGACCTTCTCAATGCTGTCCACATCCCTCCTGAAGTGCGGCGCCCTGAACTGGACGCAGTACTCCAACTGCGGCCTGAGCAATGTCGCATAGAGGGGAAGGATCACCTCCTTGGCCCTGCTTGTGATGCATCTGTGGATGCATGACAAGGTGTGGTTAGCCTTACTGACCACATCCTTGCATTGGCGGCCCATGTTCATCTTGGAATCAATAACGATTCCAAGATCTTTTTCTGCCTCTGTGCTGACGAGAGGGGAGTTCCCCAGCCAGTAGGTATGCTGCTGGTTCTTCCTCCCTAGGTGCAGTACCTTGAACTTTTCAGTATTGAATCCCATCCTATTCTCATCCACCCATACCTGTAACCTGTCTAGATCTAGTTGCAGCCTGTCCCTCTCCTCCAGTGTGCCCACTTCTCCCCACATCTTAGTGTCATCTGTGAATTTGAACAAGGTGCTTTTCACCCCCTCGTCCAAGTTGCTGATGAAGTCGTTAAACAGAGTGGGCCTGAGCACAGAGTCTTGGAGGACCCCACTGCCCATGTCACTCCAGGTCGAAAATGATCTGTCCACCACCACTCTCTGGGTGCGACCCTCCAGCCGATTTGCAACCCGTCTGACTGTGTAGGCATCAACACCACAGGTGCCTAACTTTTAACAAGAATGGGGTAAGAGACAGTGTCGAAGGCCTTCCTAAAGTCCAGAAAGACTACATCCACTGCGACACCTGCATCTAAGGATTTTGTGACCCAGTCATAGAAGGCCACCAGGTTGGTGTGACAGGACCTGCCCCTAATGAACCCATGTTGGTTGCCCCTAAGCATAATCTCCCCTGCTGGTCCCATGCAGATGTGCTCCTGGATAATTTTCTCAAAGAGCTTCCCCAGGACCAAAGTAAGACTAGCAGGCCTATAGTTTCCCAGGTCCTCTTTCCTCCCATTTTTGAAAATGGGGAGCATGTTGGCCCTTTTCCAGTCCTCTGGCACCTGGCCAAAGCACCATGAGTGCTTGTAAAGCCATGCCAGGGGTCCTGCAATGACCTCTGCCAATTCTCTCAGCACCCTGGGGTGGAGATCACCTGGACCTGCTGATTTGAACATATCCAGCCCCACCAGAAGTTCCCTAACTAGGTCCTCCCTGATCCTAGCCCTGGCTGTGCCTCTCCTGAGTCCTGGAATCCTGGTGGGGGGGATGTCTCGGTCCCTGCTCAGAAAAATGGAAGCAAAGAATTTGTTAAAGAGGTCATCTTTGTCGTCTGGTGCAACCACCAGCTTGCCAAGCATGTCCTGCAGGGGCCCCACGTTACCGGCTTTCTTTTTACTCCCTATGTATTTAAAAAAGGACTTCTTGTTATCTTTGATCCTGGTCACTAGTTCTAGTTCTGTCTCCGCCTTAGCCTTTCTAACAGCCCCCCTACAGTCTTGAGCAATGGAGGTATAATCCTCCTTGGTGTTGGCCCCTTTCTTCCATCGGGTGTATGCCTCCTTTTTAGCTTTCAGATGTTCCTGAATGCCTTTGGTGAGCCATGGGGGCTTTTGAGCACTCTTGCCCCCTTTGACTCACGTTGGGATTGTCACCCTTTGGGCTCGGAGGATTGTCTCCTTGAGGAACGACCACTTGTCTTGGACTCCCAACTCCCCTCCCCTCCCGGACCTCAGTGCCTCCCTGAATAATCTCTTTAGCTCATTGAAATCAGCCCTTCTGAAGTCAATGGCTGCTGCTTTGCTGCAGGCCTTTGACATCCTGTGCTGGATGGTGAATTCCAGTAGGCGATGATCGCTATTGCCCAGGTGGTTGAGAACCCGCAGTCCCCTCAACCAGGTTGTTGCCTATGGCCAGGACCAGGTCCAACAAGGCATTTCCCCTGGTGGGACTGTGCACCTCCTGGGTTAGGTGGAGGTCCTGTATCTCGGCTAGGAACCTCCTGGAACGGTCCGACCTGGCTGACTGCTCCTCCCAGCAGATGTCTGGGTAGTTTAGGTCACCCATGATGACCTAACCACCTCCACAAGCTGACCTGAGAATTCCCGGTCCAGCTTTTCCCCCTGGTTGGGTGGTTGATAGTAGACACCCACCGTTAAGTCCCTTTTCCCCCAACCCCCTTGTATTCTAACCCAGAGCACTTCAGTGTGCCCCTCCTCTGACCCCGTGCTGTTTGTTGAGGACATGTATTGCTCTTTGACGTACAACACCCCACCCCCGCCTTTCCTCCCCATTCTATCCCACCTGTACAGCCTATAGCCCTTGATGTTTACTGCCCAGTCAGGGGTTGAATCCTACCAGGTTTCAGTGAGCCCTACTATGTACGGGTTTGTGTTAGCTAGCAGGAGGGCAAAAGTTCCTCCTGCTTGTTCCCCATGCTACGAGCATTAGTGTAGAGGCATTTAAGGCCTCATTTATGGTGGCACAAAGGCAACCAAAGCAAAAGTCTGTTTCCACCCCATCTGACCGCTAGGGGGTCTATTACCACCAAGCCACTCTGAGAAATGTGTGAATCTTCCATCTTCAAAGCTCTTCATAGATATTTAACTAACTGTAAGGCAGTTGGGTCAGACTCATTTAAAAATAATATTCTTTACTGTATTCTCCCCCTGAGGACAGCAACCAAATGATTATTAGATCTGAAGTAGGATCAAATGAATACTTGCCCAGTCTGAAAATATTCAGATCTGTCCTTTGTGGCATGGGGCCTGGACCCTGATTGAAAGAATTAGTGATTCAAATGCTGTATGGCCTCTGTTCTTTGGTAAAGTATAATATTTTTATTTTGTGTTGTATAATGTTTTAATTTATGTTATGGGAATGTCTCTCCTTTTTAACATTTTGATAACTGAAAATGGGAGAAAACAACTGATGGGTGCTTACAGGTGTTGAAATAGCACAGCATTGGGTATGGTAGAAGTAGCTAGACAAATCATTTGTCTTGAAGGTGAACTGAAAATCTATATATGAAATAACTGTTTAAAGATTTAGATTTCATTAAAAAAATTCCTTTCCTACTTCCCATTCCTTTTCCAGGTAAACACCAAATGCTCAAATGTCCACTGTTGCAGCGCAGTCACTAATCCCTCAGGTTGTTCGTTGCTGTTGGGGTGCCCCAAAAAACAGTAAGTTCAAATGTTGGAAACGGACTGCTAGATCCATAAGCTTAGCAGGCCAGTTGAAAAACTCAGGGATGGAAGCAACTGGGAATATAAGACAACTTTTGGCATTTTTTTCTCTGGTTTTGATTCTAAGGCTTTGCAGAAATCTGCCTTGCTTACCAAAGGATTTTTATCCTGTTCCCACAGCTTTCCTACTTGTGGATGGAGACCAGATCCTCCTACTCTACCCCTGGCATCGTCAGCAAAGGAGAATTTGATGGACTTATCCCTAGAGGTACCCCATTTACTGAGGGGGGCTCGGATCCTAGCCAGGAGAGAGACTGATGGGTATTACTACCAAGGCCACATTGCCCAACAGGCAAAGGTAAGTCTTCCTGAGTGGTAAGTGTAAATGACTCCCCATTGGTTACGTGCGTCTGTTCTCCCTGACCTTGGATTCCAAGGGGGTGGGTCTCTTTTGGAATACCATCTCTCTCTCTCTCTGTTGCTGGGTGGGGTTCTTTTATCATCTTTCTCTGTACTTTCTAATGACATTTGACCATTTAGTACAAGGAGTCCTACAAGCAGAAGCAACACAGAAGGCAACATACTTTTTGTGCCTGCAGCCAGTTGCTGTTCAGATTTAGCCATGTCTAGGGATCAGCTCTGAATATATCCCCTTCACCAAGCTCAAGCTTGACTGGAAGCAAAGTTGAGTAGCTAAAGAACACTTGCAGTAAAACTGAGCATATTGAAATGTTCTGGGGTCTCTGGGACTCCTTCTTCCACAGGGGTCCCTACTGACATTTGTGGTTCTTCTGAATCTCTTATCTCCCATCTCTTATCCCTCTGTCGTTACTTGGGCCCGTCTCTGCATCCAAACTCCTAGAATGTGGTAGTCTGAGCACAGGATTTTTCCCTCTCTCCTCTTTAAGGATATACAGTTACTGTGGTCTTTGTTCAGTGAGCATGGATGTTTAACAGCAATTGGACAGAGGTGCTCTCGTCTCTATTTTCCAGTTGAAAACAGGTATCTAGGAGAAGTCACTGTTTACTCAGGAATGTCATTGGTATGAGTTCTCTTTGGGTTTTATGATTACATAACTGTGGGCCTCCTTGGTGTTCCTCCCATTAGAAATATAATATCAGCAGCACTGTGTTTTCAACTGGATTTTGTACTATCTTACAAGGAAGAGCTGGTTTCAGAACCAAAATGTAGGTGACTTGAATGAAATAAATGTGACTATAGCAAAACTGTGAGTCATTTCACTGAATTAAATGTCAAATTAATCTCATGGAAGGTACTGATTTTGGGAAGGAGAGAAGATGCTGTCATAACCTTATAGAAGTTGTGAGACCTGGGCCAGGGGAAATTGCATATTTGGGGGAATGATGTTTCTGCATTTGGGGTGAGGGTGTAGGCACTCGAGGCCAGAACAGCTGAAACAGCTATTCTAGATTAACATTGCCAACCCTGGCTGAGTGTGGGAAAGACCATGTACTTTGTCTTCTTGATTAGCAGGAGAGGAAACTGGACTTGCAGAAATGAAAGAAAAGGATGTTGGCCTCTAGGCATTTGGAGGTCTTAATATTTAGATGCCCAGTAATTTGCCAGTAGTGGAACAAGGGCACTTCCTGAACCACCCTTCCTCCCCCCACACCTTTTACAGATAGAGGTTTAATCTAAAATGGTCAGAATTATAGAATTTGGGGAACTTGATTGATTTATTATTTTTTTAATATGTAACTGGGCATGTGGCAAACAACAACAACAGTCTGTCTCAGTTTCTCTTGCTGTGGAGGGGTGGTAGAATTCTTCCCTGGCACAGTGATTGTGCTGTTCCATACCCAGCAAGCGCACTACTTAGCGCATTCTAAAACTGCAGGAGGACATGGGCTGTCAAACCCTTTTAGCCACTAATGCAGTATGTTCTAAGGTTTCACTAACCATTTGCTGTTTCTTTCAATTCTTGGCATTTCTTCCTTTCCCTCTTCCTAATGGAAAGAGCTACCAGCCCTTGGGTTTGGCCATGGGTGAGACTCATGTTTGTCTGGCAAACTGCATGATTTGATCTTACAGAGGTCTGGGGAACGGTTTTTAATTGAGTTTGAGAGAAGTCGCTTACGGAAAGGCAAGGTGCAGCATCGAATGCAAGAAACCCCCCTCTATGACATCATCCAATATGAAGATGCCAGGCGATTGCCTCTAGCTCCAGGAGATAGGGTCTTGGCACCCTGGGAGCCTAAAGGTGAACGATATGGCCCAGGCACTGTACTGCAGGTTGCAGAGAGCAAAGCAGCACATTTAGGTATGGCATATTGGCTTACAATCTGCAGTTTGGTTTCACTTGTCCTCTTTTTTTTTTTTTTCACTTCTCTCTTCCTTTTCCTAAGTGACTATTTCTTATTCAGTACTAAAGTTAGCGCTGCACTATGTAGAGTTATTTTATGAACCAGGGCCTATATGATCTCTTTTTCTGCTGTGTAACTAACTGATACCACTTGACATAATGAGAACCACATACCTCGATCTCTCAGATACTTGGATATAGTGTAAACCTGTAGTTTAGACTAATTTCCAGATGCACAAAAGGTAAAATCTTGGCTTGACTCAAGTCAGTAGGATTTTTTTCTATTGATTTTGGTGAAGCCAATGATCTCTTACAGCAGGGGTGCTCAACTTCTGGCTTGTGATGCCATGTCATCTAGCCTGTGGGGTTCCTCATGGGTTCAGAAAATTTGTCAGCAGGACAGTACTAGCACTTCTCCCCCAACAACAAATTTCTGGACTATGGGGCACCCCAGGGCCTGCACACTGAATCTGGAACCTGATCCCAGTGTGCAGGACAAGGCAGGGGCAGCACCAGAGCCCAGTCCTGGCATGGGGAGACTGGGCAGGGGCAGTGTGGGGCCCCAGAACCCAATCCTGGTGCAAGAGGAGCAGGAGGGGAGGGTGCCAGCCCCCCAGGACCCAATACTAGCACAAGATAAGGGAGGGGGCAGGGCCAGTCCCCTGGGACCCAGTCTCAGCAGGACGGAGTGGTGCTGGCTCCCTGGGACCCAATCAGGGTGCAGGATGGGGTGGTGCTGGGTCCTGGGATCCAGTCCTTGTGCATGGGGCAGGAATAGGGTGGTACTGGGTCCCCAGGTCTGATCTAGCCTGCAGATGGCCAGACCCAGTCCACAGACTGACTCCACACCACCCATTTGGCCCACAGAGCCAAAAGGTTGAGCACCACTATTTTACAGTAAGTTTAAAGGAGATCACCATGAATCCTAAAAGCAACACTTGATTTAAGCTATCATAACATTTTTCTCTGCTTTCTATAGTATAAGGCAGGGTCAGTAACGTATGGCTTGTGGGGTGGATCTGGCCTGCCAAGCTACTTGTTCTGGCCCACAGAGCTAGAGAGCTTTGCTTGTGCTTATGCTTGTGGCTGTGGCCGTGCCCATGACAGGGTCAGGCGGTGAGAAGCTATACTGCACCTGGGCGACTTCTAGCCATACCCACACCACTGTCACTTCTCCCTGCTCTCCTAGCTCCAGTCTGACATGGGCCAGGTGGCTTCGCGGGTGCATCAGCGGTAGGGGGGCTTTGTCTGCATCTATGTTGGGACCCAGCAACTGTGAGCTAGGCCCACCCCATTGCCACTTCTCTGTCCTCCCAATCCCAGGCTGCAATTTGGGGTACAGCTTCTATCCATTTGGGAGCTGTGCTCCCACTGTAGCCAGGGTGGCAGAGGGTGGGAGCAGTGGTGGCACTGTGGACACAATTTTTAGATACCTGGTCCTGGTGCAGCTCCCTACCAGCTGGAAGTTGCACCCTTGCTGTAGCCAGGGAGCAGGGCGGTGGGGGCTTGGAGAAGCAGCTGCAGTGCAAGCATAGCTCCTAGCTTTCTGGCCCTGGTACAGGCATGGGGAAAGCCACCAACCTTGATGCAGTGCAGAAGCCACCTGGCCTGTGTTGGACTAGAGCTGTGGTCTTCCAGCCTGTGGCTTGTAAACGGTTGCCCATCCCTGGTATAAGGTATGGTTCATTTGATTTACAAGAGACAGGTTTTGTTTGCTTCTAAAATGTTACCCATGACTTTTTTTTTTTTTCCTGTTTGCAGTGCCTGACGACAGAGAAGTGCTTGTGAATTTCTGGAATGGGCGGACTAAGACGGTGCACGCTGACCAAGCTCTGTGGATCCCTTTGCCCTTAAGCGAGCGCATCATTCTAGAACTTCAGATGCCCTTGGCAGCCAGGCAGATGCTGGTGGAATCAAGCTCAGACTATCCCTATGTTGTGACACCTGGTTACAGAGCATCAGGGCACTGCAGACATTTAGATCCTGTTCACTGTCAGAGTGACTCACAAGTCCAGTCATATCCTGACTGCTGTTTTCTGTGTCCCTCACTTTGCCATTGCTGCCCTGTAGCCTGGGTGCCTATTAGGCCCAGGGTGAGCAGAGTTCATTCAGATGATGACCTGATCCCAGGAACAAGCCTGACCAAAGAAGAGCTGAGCAGGAAGATAGAAGAACAGCTGTCTAAAGGGAGCACCCCCATTTCAGAATGGGTCTCCAGAGAGGAAGAGAAAGAAGAGAAAAAGGGAGCAAAGGAAGGAAGTGCCCCTAAAGACTTAGAATCTTGGATGGAGGTAGGAAGCAAGGTTACAGAAGCCAAGAAGGTACGAAGTGTTTTACCTAGACCACAGTGTTACAGCCTCCTTTGGTATAGCTATAGTAATATTCTGCATTCTGTACAGAAAAATTACCAGAAATGCCTGTGCTTTGCTAAGGGCAGGAACCATAGACGGCTTTCCAATACGTTTCTGATCCTTTCTTCCTGGAGATAGTTGAAAACTGGTTTATTGCCTGGCACTGGTACGAATAGCCCCTCAGCACCTACTGTGCCACTCAGAATCATTGGATCGCAACACCCCCACTCCTTTTGTCCTTCACTGAGGAGGAAAGAGCATTGTAGAGAGAAACAGAAACCACTCTGAAATTACTATGCAGAAAGATCCCCAATTACCTCACTAAGGCATTTCTTTATCCATGACACACAACTGAATTGAGGAACTGTTCTTTATTGAACTCAGCTGTTTATGGCATGATTTTTGTTTTTTTTGGAGATATTGCCTATTGGCTCTAGAGTAATTCATATGGTGCATTTTTAATGTCAGAATTGCAAGGTCCCTGCTATGCGGCATTGGTGTATGAAGTGAAAGTGTTAAATGAACAGAGAAAGGAAACACTTTATCATATCCCTTTCTTCTCTCACTTAGTGGCCTCTAGCAATTTACATAAAGGGCAAAGGGTTTTAGAAGGACAGATTCACTTGAGTACCTGTGTTTTCATGTGCAGTTTGCTGGGATTGTGCCTACAATTCATCTCGCTGCACAATTAATTGGTAGCAGAAGTGCCTAACTGGCCATTTGCAAATGAGATAATAATTGTTTGTGCAAATAGAGGCAAACATGTTCCTGAACACAAATGAGCCTCTTTAGCTTTAACTAATTGGTCCATCAAAGATCACTAAGGCTAAAGTTAGCTGAATATTTTTTTTTTCATATACAAGCACTTTATAATTCTAACCAGCCCTTAAGCACTGTGGGTTTTTATTTTCTTTTTAGTTTGTCACAGGGGCAGATCCTGAGTTGGTATAAATTGTCGTAGCTTCTTTCATAGCTTCCTAAGGGCAGAAGGAGCCACTGTGATCTTTTAGTCTGCTTTCTTTTATAACACAAGTTATAATTTGAAATCACTTGAACTATGACAGTTTATGCTCAGTATCTATCCCCCTGGGATTTTGCAACCTAATAATGAATGTTGCTCTTTTCTGTTTAATTCAGAAGGACAAAATGCCATTAGGAAGAGGTACGCTGCATACAGGGAAACTGCAGATTTCTCAGACTTGAACCACAGCACCTTCTGTTATTCTAGTTCTGCCATTAAATCTCAGTCCCAGCCTGCTCCTGTAATTTGGGTCCCTATTGCACACCAAAATACTGCCAGGTGTGGGGTAATTTTGGAAGGCATATAAGCCTAGGAACCAGGTATTGCTACATATTTAAAGAATTCAGTTATTTCATTATTAGACTTCTTTTCTTTCTTAAACCGCAGTTTCATTAGAAAGTTTGGTTTGTAGTTCATCGCTACTGTCTTGGCAGTGGTTGTTCATCACATGAAGGCAACATTTTCCCTGTAACTGAAAGGCTAACCAGTCATTCAACTAGTGTCAGCCAAGTCTGGTTTGTACTAAAGATTAGGGCTGTGCGAAGCTTCGGTCCCTGATTTGATTTGGCAGAGATTCGTCCTTATTCGGTGGCCGAATCTTTGAATTGAATCAGAACCCTCCAAATTGATTGAGAGAGGTCCGGAAAGATTTGAAGATTCGGACTTAGAAACAACTTTTATGTTTTTCCTCCATACCTCTAGGTAGCAGGGGCTTGTGAGTGCTGCAATGCTGGGGTGCATGGAGTGTCCTATAGGAGCATGGGGGCGCTCCTCAGAGCACTTGGTAGCAGACCCAGAAGTGGACCAAAAGTGCTTTTGCTGGGGAGCGTGCAGGAGGGCCCCCCTGTGCCTCCCTGGCTCGGTGACTGATGCTTTCTGCGTCTGGGGGGGGGGGGGCCCCCCGGGGGCCCCCCCGCAGCCAAAGTAGTTCCAGTCCATTTCTGGATTCACCATCAAGCATGTGGAGGGCCCCCTGCCGCACTCCTGTGGGACACCCCAGCATCGCAGCGATCATAAGCCGCACCTGCTACCTCAAGGTATGTAGAAAAAACTTTTAAAGTTGTGTCTATGTCCAAATCGCTGATTCTCTGAATCAGCATCGAATCTTCAGATTCAGATTCCACCGAATCGAATCAGGGACAGTAATCCAAATCAACTACTCAGATTGCTGTCCCCGATTCAGGCCGAATCTGAATCAAATAGGGCCCGCTTTGAACACCCCTACTAAAGATGGAATTAGTGTGGTAAAGGCAAAATGATAAAGTAGCTTGTACAAATTCCTGTTACTGACACTTTTTCCTCACCAGTTCAGGATTTTGATAATGTTTCTTTCTGTTTCCAGAACCCTCAGGAGTTGAACTGTGCCAGAGCTGATATGGCTGTTAACACAGACAGCTGCCTAATGGAGTTAATGTACAAAGACAGAGAAGGCAAGAGGTACCATGAGGCTGACCCTGAAGCTCATTTTAAGAATGATCCAGGTATTGAAACTATATCAGTTAACAGTTCCACACAGACTTAAGACTTGCCTGTCCAGATCAGAACATTGGGCTGTCATGTTTGATCTCTTTTCTTTGGCAGCATTTAAGGCCTGGCATTTCAAAGGAAGATGAGGAAATGCTGCAATGAACCTGGCCAATTGTGTTCTATTATATATAGGTTCAATTGGTTGTGCATTTTGATGATTGCTCATCCTTCTCTCAGACATGAAAAATTTCTTCCTGGTTCCTTCAGCTGCCACTATGTGCCCTGAAGCAAGAGCTTTGATTACTTTTATCTTATCATGCACTGCTAATGTTATTAGTCTTGAGATTACCCTTGCCTTTATAAAAATCCATCTGCTTTATTTGACTTGAATGCCTGTGGCAAAGCATTGCACAGATTGACTATATTCGGTCTGTCCTCTTACATGCACTGTAATTACTGCTTTTTAATGACATTATGTAAGCCTTTGGTCTCATATATAAAAATGGACTGGTTCATAATCTAAAATACCTTTTAATTAAGATCCTTCAGATCAGTGCCTTCTTCATCTAAAATAGATTTGTAAAATACGCAGGCACTTAGCTGTAGACCAATAGTCCGAAAGCCTTCTGCAGCTTCACTAAACTGCTATTGCCTTTGCCTACTCTCTATCAGGTCTCTTACCAAGAGAGTCTGAAAGTGGAATAGCAGAGATGTACATGCCCTAACAGCCAGTATTGCAGCCCTATTCCCTACAGCAGCTCTTGTCTGTGAGCGTAGCGAATAGTCCATTGAATCCCGAGTAAAAACTCATGCTTGCCTATGTTAGCAATTTTTTTTTTTTTTTTTTTTTTTTAAAGTGGCGACCTGTTTTTTTAGTCATTGAGAAGATCTTGCTTACTTGGAGAGAAATGTTAGTAGTTATAATTTTTACATGAATAGATTTTTCCTTTTCCTTGTCCACTTTTCCTAAAGCATGTAATTGTTATCTTTCTGATGCGTCTGAAAGGTCTTTTACAGTCCAGAATTGCAGAAGCTCCAGCCCAGCAACCCCAAACAAACCCTTCCACCAAAGTCCATGCTTTCAGCACTTCTGGTCGCCAAGCTTGGTTTCACCGAGTGGATCAATCTCTAAAGAAAGACCGCTTGACTATTGAATCTATCGTGTGTGTGCGGAGACCCCACAGCGCTCCAACTGTGCAGGTTAGAAGAACCAAAAATATTCTTAGAATAAAGCAAGGCCTTTTAAATCAGTTGAATAAATTCAAGACTAACTTGTGGTGCAAAGACCTTTAAGCTAATTTCCTGAAAGGTTATTTTTATAAAATCCTAATAAGAAATACAGAAGTCTCATCTCTGATTAGCTGAGTTTCAGTGAAAGGTGAGTTGACACTTTTGCATGGTTGACTTTTAATTCACTCTTCCAGTGTCTTAGATGCAATCAGCTCTCCTTGTCCTCTAGCTTCACACCAGCATAAATTAAACAGTTTGAGTCCCTGGCCACACTCTCTTGACTGGACACTGAGGTACCCCAGCCTTATCTCTGCAGTAATGAATGGTCATACCATAGTGGGGTAGTCCTTCTGAGGCAAATTGTGCTGCTTTATGCCAGCAACAGCCTCAGTTTTCTCCATGTTGGGAAGTGACACCATGATACAAATCAGAAAGAATGTTTTTACATGTGCTCCAGGATGGAGGGATGCAGCACTTTAATTAGAGCAGCTCTGAGAGTCAAAGTGTCACTCTAGCTACAGTGCCCAGTGTCACATGTATTCAACAAGCTTTAGTTAAAGCACCCCCATCACCATTTTGAAGTGCGGGAGCACTGAATACGTGTGATGCAGAGGCTGCTGGAACGTGTTAATTAGCAAGCTCCAGCAGACTTGACTAATAGAGTCTGCTCCAATGCAGGCTAATTAGTGTGCATCGGAGCAGACGCCTGGCATATGTGTAGGTGCCCAAAGCTCCCAGTGCTTGGAAACAACGTTAGAAGGCCAAACCTTTCTGATCTTACAGGACTTGAGTTCACCGTCGAAAAATACATTACTGTTATACACGATTTTTTGTTTCAGAAATCTGCAATTACCAATGCAACTGAAGAGAGCCTGAGACAGGCAAACTTCAATGCAGCCAGGATTGAGCACAAAAGGCAGCAAGAGAAGCAGAGGCAGGTAAAGAGGGAGCAACAGCAACTGGCAGAAGGCCTGAGACACCAGCTGTTGCAAGACAACCGCAGGTAAGGATCTCCAAGGTCAGAGAGGAGCTGGAGGAGTAGAGGGGAGACTTCAGCAGCTACTAAGCATCATCCAGCCCTTTATAACCCAGCATGAGGTATTCAATAATATATGCTTCCTGAGCTTATGCTGCGATACCTTCTCTCTGTCTTTATTGCCCGTTATGCTACTAGCTGAGTGCTGATCACAGTTGCTTTCTTAACAGACTGATCCTGATAAATGCTGAGAGCTCTCTATTTTCATACACTTCAGTGGGAATGGAGGGCACTCAGAATATTGGAGCAAAACACCAGATAGTTTATTTCAGCTGTTATGGTTATGTTTATGCATCCTTTCCACCTCCTCCCCCCACCAGCTGGAGTTTAAGCTTTTCTGTTTTGACTGATGGATTCCTAGTAGCAGGTCAAGAAATCAGAAGGATCTTGTAAGCTGAAAACATTATGTATTTTAGAAGTAGAATAAAAATTAGGCCCAGCTGAGGAGACTGCATCAGCAACTCACTAGTGATACCAGCATCTGGTTGCGTACACTAGACCAGATTGTGGCTGCCCTCATCTTTAATGTAGTGGTGCAGACAGATAACTACATTTCCCAGCATGTGCTCTATCTTGATCTGATATCAGTGTATAGTGATCAAGAAAGAACACCATGTTCTGGGAACTGGAGTCTCAGGATGTAGCTCTATTTTACATTAAAGTACTTATGGCTTTGTGCTGCAAGTTAGGAGCCCTTTTACTAAGGTCTGGGCTATACTACATAGTTTTGTGGGCAGTACTCCTGTTCAACACTTACAGCTCTCTTGAGACAGCAGAGCCCCTCTTTTCTGCTGGCAGAGCAACATCAGCTTTCTGCCTAAAAGAAGGATTCTGCTGATGCCCATCAATTGGCAAAGGCATGTGTACTTATACCTTCCACTGGCTGCTGTGATTCTTTCATCAGCTAGTGTCTTCCGAAGGTTCACTGCATGCCCTGCCAGCAGCTGTTTAGTGGAGCCAGGTGGATCTGGGAGAAGCCTCATGGATTTAAATATGTCCTTGTGCCTTCCCTGTGGTGGGTGCTGTCCACTGGCAGAGCTTGTTTAGATAAAGCCTATGAACATACAGCACCCTTCAATGGGAAGAAAAGCATAATTCCATATGGGCCTGAAAATGCCAAGTGAATAGAAGGAAACAAAACATAATAACTAGTAATAGCTGCACAGTTGAAAAATTCAGCCTCATGAAAATGCAGGCAAGTGAGTTATTGCTCATTTTCAACCATCCATACCAATTACGAGCAGGAGTTTGGCCAGGACTTCCAAAATCTTTCAGAAAGTGGCACAGAACTTTTAATGGCCACACATAGTCAGGACCTCTGGTTTGTATCTCAGCCATTGACACACCTGGGGATAGTCTCTTGCTTTGTTCTTCTTTCTGAGTTGTTTTGGAAATGTACTTTTGGAAACAGGCAGAGATCTCTTCAGAGAATGTTGCAAGGGTTGGAGAAGCAGCTGGAGCACAATGAGCAGGCCTGCCAGCACATGGTGCAGCTCCAAGCTGCCAGGGCAGAGAGGAACAGAAAGGAATCCTCTCTGCAAGAGGAGGAGAAAAAGAAGGAGACTCAAAGGCTGCAGTTCCTAAAGGCACAGCGTCTGCAGAGAGAGAAAATTCTGGCAGAATATGATGACAGGATCTCTGACCAAGACAAAAAGAGACAGGTGAGGGCTGTTTCATGAATGCTTTTCTTGGACTCTTTGTAGCTCCCTGTCGCTGTCTAGCTTAGCAATATCATTTGGAGATGCTTATATAACCTGATTTTTAATGTGTGCAAACTGATGAAAAATGAGACAAGTCCACCTGGGAAAAGTCCATGTGTCTGTAACATACAGACTCTGATGATACCAACTTTCCACAACAAGAGATCACGGAGGGAACAACATACAAGCTGCTGGCTGGCAAATTCACAGCTACCCCGTCCCACTTTGTCCCAGTAACAGGCACAGGATGGACAGGACTTCTTCACAAGAGCATGAGTAGGACTTTGAACATCCTTTCACTTATTTTTCTGTAGGATTTGCTCAGGACCAGAAGGCAGTCCCGACAGGAGATCTTGAAACAAGAAGTACAGGAGCAGCACACTCAGCAGAGGAAGCATGAGGTTACCAAATGGAAAGCATTCCAAAATCGGGACCAGTTGCAGCAGAGACTGGAAAAGAAATGCCAAAAACATCGGGACCTCCAGCAGTACCTCAGGGAGCAGAGCCTTTTGATGCTCCGTGCCTCCTTGCTGTTGTAAAAAGGCTGCAGTGCAGGTAATCAGTCTCCTGAGCACTCTCTCAAGTCTGCTATATATGTTGTAGATGTGAACCAATGTGCTGGGCTTGAGTTATAATGCAGTGATGAGAAGCAGATGACAGTCATTCTTGGAAATATTTATATCTCCCCTTGAGCATAGTCAGAGTCTATTTGCAGGTACCCGTCCCTTACAAACCTTGATCTACCTACTGTGAAGACACTCAGGTCAGTAAAACTGCTGGCTGGTTTCCATTTTGTCTTATATGCTAAATATGTAGTGGCTTTGGAGGTGGACACAATCTAGAATAGAGATGAGATATAACAGGCATCAAAGGAGAGAGATGTTTGCATTTTGATGTGCTAGGACAAAAATCCAGCTCTGTTGAGTTTGACAGAACCGTCAAGCCAGGGAGCAGGAAGGTAACAGGCTGTCTCCTCTAGAAGACCACTGAGACTAGACCTGCTGCACTGTCTTCTGAACTCTTTAGTGCCAAGAAGATATAAACCAACTGAGGGAGTTCAGAGAAGAACAGCAAAATGGCAAAAGGGTTTTAGGACTAATTCATATAGGAGACAAAGAACACAAAGCATACTACTACCAAGCAAGGGGACATCAGGCTGTTAGTACTTTCAAGCTGCAAACCCAGAGGGACAAAATGCTGTATGCTAGTAAAAGTGGTATGGGTTAGGACTAGGGAGGGGAAAAGACAAACAATTAAGGCAAAAAAAGTCAGGAGAAGCTTCCTGAAAGGGAGAGTTAGCAGGCTGGTTAACTGTCCCAGGAGACAGATGGAAGCCACCCCCCATTTAAAAGTATCCTAGGAATGACCAAAGGGTTGTATTGTTGGGGATAGTCCTGGACTGGCAGAAGAATAAACCTGCTAAGTGTTTTTCTACTCCTTGTGGAACAGAGGACTGAGAGCACTTTTCTTCTGAACAAGGTTACAAAAGTGTGTTTCTATACATAAGAAGCCCTGTAGAATAGGAAAGGCAGTCCTATGGCATTCTATCAGGGGCACAACTGGGACATGGATCACTGAGGCTTGACAAGGTCCACACCAGAGACACTAGTCATGGGGTCCAGAGCAGGCAGCTGTAGGTGTAAAGGACTGGGACATATGTGATCAGCAAACTGAAGTCAGGAGCCAGCTGTTGAAAGATGGGGGTCTAGTCTGGAATCTGGAACAAGGAATCAGCAGG